TTTTTTTTTTTTTTTTTTCCTTTGTAACAGGAATCAAACCCAGGGCTTCACGTTTGCCAGTGCTACACCATTGAGCTATATCCCCGGCCATATGGCTGTGTGATTTGAGAAAGTGACTTAGTCACTTTGAGCCTCAATTGCTCATCTCTAAGGAATGCCAGTCATGAATAGATCTCACAGGGCTGTGAGGGTTAGATGGTAATGTGAATGTAAGAGACTTAGCTTTGCACCTAGCATACATTGTTAGCTATGGTTATTGTCATTTTTGCTCTTGTTACTAATATTATTTCATAATACTACACTTCCTGTTACTATTGCTAGCGCTACTCTTTGGGAACTACTCTTCGATGGGCTGTTTAGTTCCCAGTGAGACTGATGTGATAATTAGATGCAGTAGGCCTAATCTGGCCAAAAAAAGAATTGTGGACTAGAGTTGTAGCTCAGTGGGCCTTAGTATTTGCAAAGCCCTGGATTTAATCCCTGGCAAAACAAATAAACAAACAACAACAATGAAAAAAAAAACAGGAAAGAAGAATAATGAGGCGTGTTTGCTGGAATTCCTTGTTATTACGGGGTGGGTACATATAGAGTAGTTGCTTCTCAAGGTGCTCCACCCTAGGGAAAAGCCAGTTAGTTGTCCTCACTGGCACGGTCTTGCTTGAATAAATGATTCTGAGGCTTACACTTGACTGGGGCTGGATACCTTTGTTGTTGCTATGTATTGGAGAACTTTGCATGAAAACCCAAAAAAGGTGAAACTGGTACAAAACCTAATCTGGAGCATATCAAAACAAAATCATCCTGTAACATCTCCCATCAGTTCTGAATCTCTTTTTCCTTTCTTTTTAGGAAGCGTTTATTCGAAGCATTTTGTCAAAGCCTTTTAAAGTTCCCATTCCAAATTATCAAGGTAATTTAACCTTTTAGGTTTTTTAAAATCAGTATTGTGAATGCACCTGAATAGATTAAAAACGTCTGCCTTTGAAAATACAACTTTAAAACTGGGCATGGTGCACGCCTGTAATCCCAGCACTTGGGAGGCTGAGGCAGGAGGATCACTGTGAGTTCGAGACCAGCCTGGGCTATATAGTGAGTTCCAGGTCAACCTCAACTACATAGTGAGATCCTGTCTCAAAAAAAAAGAAAAAGAAAAGATGCCAGTTCAGTGATGACTGTGTTTGGGGTGGCTCACATGAGGACTGTGTGAAAGTCATATTAGCCTAAGCAAGGGCTGCCAGGGCTGACTGCCTTCATCCTCTTGGTGGAGGTGTTCCAGTGTGTAGAAGGCTGGTGGCCAATGTGGCTGATGATGGATCTAGCTTCCTTCAGTCCAAGTGTATTCATAAGCATTTCCTTTATGAGGTCAACTGTGTAGAAAGTCTCATTTCTGCAGAGTTTTCCTTTGTTTTAGGTAGGACACTGCTCTTTTTTCTAAAATAGGCTAGAAGGAGAGAAGTAGAGACGCTTTCAGATTTGAAAGGCCCTCTTCAGGTCTTCCCAGATTGGTTTGAGTTGAGCCGAAAAAGTTTGGCCCTTTAGAAATTTGTAGTTATATGGGAAAAATAAAATACAAAGAGCTTTAGTTTTTTTTTTTTTTTTTTCAGCTTTAATTGAGTTTATTGGTACATTTTAGGAATACAGTACAGTTACATTCATTGTTGGGATCTTGTACCTCTACATGACGTCTTGATTCTCATTTTTTCCCCTTTTCATCTTTTCATTAAAAAGAGCTTTAGAAGGGATAACGGTTAGGTAGAGGTACCCATACTGGATTGGGAGGAGTTCTCGGAGAGAGACCTCAGGAAAGGTTTTATTAAGGATGAGCATTTGAACTGGGCCTGTTTGAGCTCCTGAACTTAGAGGCTATGGTGACAGACTGATTATTGATTTCTAGGTCCTCTGGGCTCTCGAGCATTGGGCCTGAAAAGAGCTGGGGTCCGCCGGGCCCTCCATGACCCCTTGGAAGAAGGTGCCTTGGTTCTGTATGAGCCTCCCCCACTGAGTGCCCATGACCAGCTGAAGCTGGACAAGTATGTGCATTGTTCTTGAGCAGTTTTGGTCTTATGAAAGTGTGCATGCCTGTGAAAGTAGGTGGTATATTGGTATGATTTCTTTTTGGGGTTGGAATAAGTTATCAGAGAGATGCCAGGATTACTGCACCATACAGAGAGTAGGTAGTTGGGAAAGTAGAAAGCCTGTGGAATCGGGCATGGTCCTGTCCAGTTAGTAGGGGTTCCTCACTCCCTCCTGTCTCGCTCACTTGTAAGGAGAAGTAATTGATGCAAGGAATCCATCCCATTTCCCTAACTGTTTATCCTCCAGAGCAGGAAGTTGCTCTGGTTTGGTTACCAGGCCAAGAAGTGCTCTCTCTGGCTTCTGTGGCTTCTGGGTCTACAGATGCAGTGTCCTGAGGGTGTACCCTTGCCATTGTCTGAGCACCATGTTTTTTTACTTTCTGTTTTGTTTTGGTTTTTGTTGTATTTTTTCAGGGAAAAGCTCCCTGTCCATGTGGTTGTTGATCCTATTCTTAGTAAGGTTCTGCGGCCTCATCAGAGAGAGGTAAATGAGGGTGAGGGAAGTGAGGTGTCGGTTGGGGTTGAGCCTGGAGACCACCATCTCTGAGGCGGTGGTACTCTAGGTGCTGTTATTTTCCAGGGAGTGAAGTTCCTGTGGGAATGTGTCACCAGTCGCCGCATTCCTGGCAGTTATGGTTGCATTATGGCTGATGAGATGGGCCTGGGAAAGACACTGCAGTGCATTGCATTGATGTGGACACTTTTGCGCCAGAGTCCAGAGTGCAAACCAGAAATTGACAAAGCAGTTGTCGTATCACCCTCCAGCCTTGTGAAGAGCTGGTACAATGAAGTCGGGAAGTGGCTTGGAGGAAGGATCCAACCTCTGGCTATTGATGGAGGATCCAAGAATGAAATAGACCAAAAGCTGGGTACGGAGCCTTCCACCCAGCCTGCTGCTTGCTCCTCATTTGTGGCCAGGGTTGAGACCTGCCACAGGGGTAGGAGAGAATTCCTATTGAAAATTATTGAAAGTTATTTGCAGGCTACTCTGTAGAACTGTTATTTTATTTTTTATTTAAGATGTCCTGATTAGCTCCCTTGACACCTTTTTCTGTTGTAGAAGGATTCATGAACCAACGTGGAGCCAGAGTGCCTTCTCCCATCCTCATCATTTCCTATGAGACCTTCCGCCTTCATGTTGGAGTCCTTCAGAAAGGAAGTGTTGGGCTGGTCATATGTGATGAGGTACTACATGCTCAGCAGTCTGGGTAGTAGGAGTCCTCTCAGAGCCTCTCTGAGCTCTGTCATGCCAAGGCTACACTAGTCACTGAGGAATGCTGAAGACAGAGGCTGCTTCCTTGGAGGAGACAAGTGAGAGGGAGGACCCATGATACTTATCTGCAGAAAGTGGGATTAAATTGCTTGGAACGCTTGAGGAGAGTGAGGTGTTGTGTGCTGATTGGTTTTGTTTACTCCAGAAAGTATTTTTAGACCAAAAAGAACAGGAGAGATTTGAATGGCTGGAGAGACATGGGACAATGTTTAAAGGGATGAGGTTCTAGAGTAAGAGATCTTTATTCAGATCCTGGTTCTGCTACCAACCCATAGTGTGACCTCAGACTTTAGTTACTTAAATACCCGAGCCTATGTTTCTGTATCATGATGATTGAGGCGATGATACCTGGATGATAGGATAGGATATGATAGGATGATTGTGGGGATTCAGCGAGGTAAGTGGAGGAAAGGCCTTTTTCCAGTGCCTGGTATATCAAAGCCTTGATAAATGTTAGTGCTTATTTTCATTCTGGATTGGGGTACTTTCATGAACAGAAGCATGGAGATAGGAAACCCTTGTAGTAGTAGTTTGTTCCTTCTTTCTGGGTCTAAGGGAAATATGGCAGCAGTTGCTTCCTGGCCTTTTCCAGGTTGCATAAATAGTGGTAGAGGTGCTAGTATTGAGGGTGGGTGAGGGCTTCCTCTACAGAGAATTTTCTAGGATTCCACGGGACTTGGCTACTTGAAGCTGCTGCTCCTTGTTTATACCTCATGGAGTGCATTAAGATCACTTTGCATCCTTGGGCCGAAGATTTAGCTCAGTAGTGCTTGCCCCCTGCCTTGCAAGCACAAGGTCCTGAGTTTGATCCCCAGTAGCAAAACAAGAAAAGAAATACTTGGTTCAGTCAGCCAGTTTGAAAGACTGTAACTCAGCCCAGGGATCTGAGGGAATACTAAGAGGACAGAGGAAGAAAGCTTACTTTTTGGCTCTGTTTTTTTTTTTTTTTTTGTACCGGCAATCAAACTCCTCGGGTCCTTGTCACTTGTGAGGAAGACAGCGGTACCACTGAGCTAAATCCCTGGCCCAAGAAAGCTTACTTTTAAATACCATACTTACTAATTGTGACCCATTCCCTATTTGGGGTTTTGTCCTTATGAAAAGTCTGTCTACAAATTCTTGATTACCTGATAGATCATCACTTCTGGTAGGAATAAAAGATTCAGTGGATTGAAAAGAGATATGTGTTTAGAGCCCTGGCATCTGTTTTATCACCATGAGGAGTACTGTGCCAGAAGACCAGTCCAGGTGAGGGCATTGTAAGAGAGAGCAGGCTATAGCTATTGATCCGTTAAGGTCTTGGGTTTTTTTCTTTTAGGTGTGTGTTCTCCCTCCCTCCCTTACTCTGGAACTTCCCTGGAAAATAACAGCATCTCTGTGTGTGTGTGTGTGTGTGTGTGTGTGTGTGTGTGTGTGTGTGTGTTTTTTGTTTTTTTTTTAAGACAGGGTTGTGCTATGCAGCTCAGGCTGGAATTAAACTCACTGTGTAGTCCAGGCTGGCCTTGAACTCCTCCTGCCTCAGCCTCCCGAGTGCTGGGATTACAGGTGTGTATGCCACCATGCCCAACTGTTTTTGTTTTTTGTTAAAACAAGCTCTTAGGCTGGGCTCCAACTCACGATGCAGCCCAGCTTTTTTTTTAAGACAGGGTTGTGCTATGCAGCTCAGGCTGGAATTAAACTCACTGTGTAGTCCAGGCTGGCCTTGAACTCCTCCTGCCTCAGCCTCCCGAGTGCTGGGATTACAGGTGTGTATGCCACCATGCCCAACTGTTTTTGTTTTTTGTTAAAACAAGCTCTTAGGCTGGGCTCCAACTCACGATGCAGCCCAGCCTGTCTTCAGACTTGGCAATCCTCCTGCCTCATCCTCCAGGTGCTAAGATTACAGTTGTGTGCCACTGTACCCTGCCTGTCCTGTTTTATGGTACTCAGACATAGGCAAGGATACACCCTCAGGACATTGTGTCTACTGACCTAGAAGCCACAGAGGCAGATACCTAAGAAAGCACTTTTTGGCCTGGTAATGAAACTAGAGCAAGTTCCTGCTCTGGAAGGTAGAGAGGAAAGTGAGATGCATGGCACAGTGGACCAGGCTGCCTTTTTGCCTTGGCCTGTCTTCTACTCATTTTCCTTTTATTTGTCAGCCTTTGTCAATTTTGAGAGTCCTGAGGGGAAGTCCTGAAAGATAGCTGTCCTACTCCGGGAGAAAGTTTGTCCTGTTCAGACCCAGGAAAAGAAAAGTGTCTCTCCAGGCTTTCATGCTCCCAGCATCTATAGCGGCTTTGTCCCAGCTGACACTTTTCTGCAGCACACACAGTTCTTCATAATAATGTCTCTGTGTAAATTTGTGTGTGTGTGTGTGTGTGTGTTTTGGTACTGGGGATCGAACTCAGGACCTTGTGCTTGCAAAGCAGAAGGTGGCATCACTGAGTTAAATCCTCGGCCCTATGTGTAAATTTCTTTATCATCACTCAGAAGCCATGAAATCAGCCCTGACTTTGCTTTGGATAAACATGACTTTCGGCCCTGAGACTCAGTTTCTTTATCTGTAGAGTGGGTAGCACAAAACTATTTGAAAAGGACATTATACAGATCAAGATAATGGGCATATTTGGAATACTTTGTAAAAGTATGAGAGTAGGGAGATAGTCACATCATTATTTCAGTATTTTGTGGTTTTTTTGAGACAGGATCTCACTATGTAGTTGAGACTGACATGGAACTCACTGTTTAGACCAGGCTGGTCTCGAACTCACAGCAGTCCTCTGGCTTCAGCCTCCTGAGTGCTGGGATTACAGGCGTGTAGCCACTCCCGGCTATCATTTCAGTTTTTAAAAATATTTAATTTTTGTGGTACTAAGGATTAAGCCCAGGGCTTTTGTTCTGAGCTACATCCCCGGATCTTGTTTTTTTTTTTTTTTTTTTTTTTTTTTTTTT